GATCAACAAATAGATTTTCCAATTTTCCATTCATGTTCGATTTATCACCTAAAAATTACAGTACAGAGACAACAACAAAAATTTCATTTTTATGTTGCGAGAATTATTCCAATACACACGTAGAGAAAATATATAGGATACGTTGTGGTGTTTGACAAAAGCCCTATAACATTAAGTTTCTATGTCATGGATATTGATTAATTTTTGTAATGGTTCAGATATCTGCCAGGGTGTGAGAAGGCCTTTTTGACACCAGGGTTTTCAGTGTACTTTTATACGTGTTCGTCCAGATAAGATTTCCATATTGGAGAATATCAAAGTTTTACATAAGTTAATTAAAATACGGTAAGGAAAAAAATCAAATCGCCCTAGTAATGTTGTAGCTGGTCAGCTTTATGCTGTTTCCAGCTTAGATTCTCATGACACCTAGAAACGTGACGTTCGGCATTAGTGAGGTACCGTATTGTTCAATTTGTCAAAATTAGTACCGGTATGCTTTTCTGGAGGCCTAAACACAACATCTTTGTTTTGCAAATATTTAGTAGAAGCTTATTAAATTTAAAACACTATTTATTTTCTCTAATTCTGTGTTGATTAAGTTAGACAGCACTATAAGGTCACCTTAACATTTGACACTAGTTCTGTCATCAGCAAAACATATCAATTGCAGTAGGCCTACATGAATTGTAAATATCGTTACCTATGAGAAACAATATGGTACACCAATATTATCTCTTTTAAACTAAACTATGTGCCATTTATACAAACATACTGTACCCGGTACTGTTTTCGGGATTTCATTATTGTTGAATAATGACAGGGCAATACACCTGACACCGCAGTGAGACAGTATGTTTAATAAAATACCGTGATCTATTACATCAGATGCTTTTGATAAATCCATACATGTTGCAATTGCATATTGTTTTTTGTTTTGTTTTGTTTTTGTATTGTTTTTGTATTGTTTATGTTTGAATGTTTATTTCTAAAACCATACCTGTACCGTTTAGTATGTTAATTGAATACCGTAAAACATCGAATAGAAGCTCTGGGCTTTTTATATTTATTTTTTTATAATTTATTATTATTATTTTTTTTTTCTTCTTTACTTTTCTTTTTGATAATTGTGACAATTTATATATTTTTACAATATTCTGTCAAGAAAGTTTGGCCCAATGTCAGTACTGCCAGCCTCAAATGTAGAACAGACTCGCAAGAGACAGATACAAGATCCCTCATCTATATTATTCGACCAGATTGTTAATATGGACGTTTATGTATAGTACAGTTTTTCCAGAATATAACTCTAGAAGGTTCAAATTTAAATCCCACGTTAGAAAGCAATTTTTTCGGAAAAGGAACTGACAGCTGCAGTAGCCTGCGGCCTGACATTGTATCCGCACCATCTGTGGCATCTTTTAGAAGAAGTCTGTAGTAAGTACCGGTATCTTGATATATTATTATAATTCGTAAAATATCTTGTTAATGTCTGTTTGGAGTTTGTATCGTTTTACTACCATTTTCATGTAGCCTATATTTTATCTGATGGAACTTGTGTGTGTGTGTTTTTTTGTTTTTGTTTTTGTTTTTTTTAATATATAAAATAATAAATGACGTACCGTACTCAAATTGAATCTGAATCTGTGGTTGTGTACGGGAAGGACGAGGCCTAATCACAATCTCGCAAAATCAATCAAGGAATATCACCTTATGATCGGTGGCACATACAATACCGGTAGTGATGCATCCAAAATAACAGTTTTTTTTTCAAACAATAAGCAAGCTTAAAGCATACATAAACACAATTTTAGTATAATATACTTAACTTAGACACTTAAACTAACACATGATATAAATTCCACAATTTTAAGATCCTGTAGCACAAAATAGTACATTTTACCAATTTTTGAGTGCCGCAAAAATTAACCGTTTTCATGAATGCAAGTAAGACAAGAAAAACATAAAGATTTTAAAACCAAACTAAAGAATAATAGATATTGCTTACAAATACAAAATTTTATTAATGTTTCATTTGAAATT